TAGGGCAGTCCCAAACTTGGAACTTGATTGAACAGAACGATATTTCAAAACTCGAGTTCCTATATGATTGCATTCTGAAACCAAATCAAGAATATTTATAATTATGATAATGTGATAAATGGCCACTGAGTAGTACGTGGGTAGTCAGAAGTGATAAGAGATTTCACATAGGCTTTGGGGAAGTACTCTAAGGAAATCAGGATCAGATAAACACCATTTTGCAGAATCAGTGTAACTGTAGCCTGGGGTTTGAGAGAACCAGAGCCTTGTTGCTTGGAAAATCACCCAAGTCTTCACCTAACTTCCTCATTCGCTTAAGTGGTGACAACCCTTTCCACTTCACAGCCACAAAGCTTAAATTGCCATTTTCTTTTATAGCCACACGCTTTAGAGAATTGATCTGGACTGTTGGACAGAGTTAGCTAGAGGGTGATGAGTTCCTCTGTTTGGGTAGAAGAGAGGCCAGACAGCAGGTGTTTGAAATTCTCAAAATAAACTTTGTCTATTTTGGACCATTTTCATGTTTGTCTCAGTCAGGTTCTAGCATATGTTTAGTTCTCATAAATTTAACTACCTAATGAGATTTATCCTCTTCAAGCCTGGGAACAAAATGGTAAAGTTGGGTGCCAGTGTCTACATTGGCAAGAAAGGAATTTTAAGGTGCAGGTAACTCTTATGGCAGTGTTGAGATAATGCTTTCCTCTTTCTTCCCTGCAGACCCACAGGTGACTCTGGTGACCGAGATGGCATCCTCTCTAAAGGTCCTAGGCCCTCTCTTGACCCTGCTATTTCCCCTAGGTGGGCTGCTTGTACACAGCCAGAACCTTTCCTGGAAGGAATTCATGAAACAGCAGTACCTGAGCACGAGCTGGAAATTCAGCGACTACAAATGCAATGTTCTCGTGAGGGAAAGAGAAGGTCCACAAGACAGGAACTATCACATCTTCATCTATACCTTTTGGCACAAAATCGAGCATATTTGCCTCAGGAAGTGGAGAGACCGTTACAGAAATGTATACATATGGGCCCAGCATCCCTTCAAAATACTCCAGTGCTACCAGGAGGGCAGCCAAAAGAGCTACAGAGAGCACAGGGGGTATAGCCACATTGAATTCCACTGTGGCATGAATAGGCATGTTGATGGCATAGAGGACATCCAGTTGTTAGACATCAAAAAATAGAAAGTCTACCCATACCCAGAGGTTTGAGTAGAGTGTCCAATACTTCCCAAGAGGGAGCCCGTGCCTCGGTCAACAGCCCTTGCTATGCCATCCTTTGCATTTGTGGTGCCAACGTTTTCCAACTACTTAGAGTTACGCATCATCACATGCTTGTTTCCTATCAAAACCACTCACAGTTTCTCTGCCTGGAATATTCCTGTGCCCTCATGTATCTGATTTGCTCCTACAATTTTTTAAGATTAGGCTCTATATGGCTTTTCTGTTTTACTGAACCAGGCATGTTCCTGAAAGTGACTCATTACACTGACCAAACCTGAATGGTCTTCCTTCCCTAAATAAATTATGTCACTTTACCATGTGTGACATTCACATATGTTATATGTTGTGTGATTGGTGGAGGTTTCCCAGGGTGTTTGATACATATTGTGCTTGGATATGATGGGTACACAATGTAGGCTGAAGATGTGTGTCATTGGACTCATTCCTTAAACATGTCTCTAAGGAAATGCATGCATTTTAGATAGGTTAAGTCATTATGTTTCCCGAGGCATAATAAACTAAGTAGAAGATAATGGCAGAAATATACATTATATGTTAATTAAAAAAACCCAGAAAATAAAGAAGATAATGGCAAAAATGGGGTTTCTGATAATAATCATTTTCACTCGGCAGAGGTATAGAGTAGATATGGGATGTTAAAAGGTAACCTTCAAGAACAGGTTTTAAGACTTAAGTTTTGTTGGAGGAAAGAAGAAGTAAATTGCAGAAGGAAATGTTGAGGACACAAGAAAGTAATGTCCATGAGAATTCTGTTTGCTAAATGGGGAAGAGTGATACAGAGAAGGATAAACCTTCACTTCATACAATTTTGCCTCCAGCAGATATGGGGAGGAGAAATGTGGAACACTAAAGTAACTTGTATCCTTTAGCCTCCTGCATTGTTGAATGACTCCAGTCTTGAAACACTTGGAAAAGGCCAAGATCATAACACTTTCAGTTAGGTGGCTGCATTCCTAGTCCTAGACATCTAGCCCATGAGTAGTCAAGGAATCTAGGTTAGTCATCATATTTCAAGAAGAGCTCCTCAGCTTTGCAGTTTTTCAGTGCACCTGGAGGTGAGCAGACACTGGGAAGATGATGACCTATAGTAATCAAACTCACAAGAGATTAGTGTTAAACCAGCGGTTCTGGGGCACCTGGTGGGCTCAGTCAGTTAAGCCTCTGCCTTTGGCCCACGTCATGATCTCTGGGTCCTGGGATCGAGCCCCACATTGGGCTCTCTGCTTGGTGGGGAGCCTACTTCCCCTCCTCTCTCTCTGCCTGCCTCTCTGCCTACTTGTGATATCTCTCTCTCTCTGTCAAGTAAATAAAAAAAATCTTTAAAAAAAAAAAAAAAGAGAGAGAAACCAGCAGTTCTGTATCAATAATGAGTATAAAGATGAGGATTACTAATCATTTTTCTCAGTTGATAAAAACTGTGTCAGGGTGCCTGGGTAGCTCAGTGGGTTAAAGCCTCTGCCTTCAGCTCAGGTCATGATCTCAGGGTCCTGGGATTGAGCCCCACATCGGGCTCTCTCCTCATAGGGAAACTGCTTCCTCCTCTCTCTCTCTGCCTGCCTCTCTGCCTACATGTGATCTCTGTTGTCAAATAAATAATTAAAATCTTAAAAAAAACCCCAACTGTCTCAAAGTGTATGGTGTGGGGCACCTGTATGGCTCAGTCTGTTAAGTATTGGCTCTGAATTTCAGCTCAGGTCATGATCCCCACATCCAGCTCTGTCATGAGCATGGAGCTTGCTTGGGATTCTCTCTCCCTCTTCCTCTGTCACCTGAATTATACTCTCACAAACTATCTCTCTCTAAAAAAATGGGGGAAAAAACCCTAAAAAAACAAATAAAACAAAACCAAAATGTAGTGGCACAGTTTGTGTTACTGTATTCTGGTTGCCTATACTTATATTCCAGAGTGATCTGTTCTGGTCTCCTACAGTAAGGTTTCACAATACATTTTAAGAATGCTAAGAATTCCTTTTATTAATGGGTTAAAAGATGTGGTTAATCCAACATGGAAGAAAAATGGATTCAAGCACAATTAATGTAATAGCTTTGTGTTGTTGCTTCGGTTTTCCCACATCCACTCCCTCCACCCCATTTGGATAGCTGCATATTCATTTCTTTTCTCAAACTATTTTTCCCCTGCTTCTGTGCAGTATCGGTGGGGTCATCCCAAGGTTTAAAATCCCCTCTACTGAGTGAAGTGATGGTCATGAGATTCAAGTTAGGCCAACCAGACTCTTTTCTATAGGAGACCAGAATGTAACAGCCCAAAAGATGGCTCTTTGTCATGGAGATGATTTTGAGCTGATTATTTTGAGAAACAGCAGAGAAAGGAGAGGCTCTGAAAGTAGCCTATAAATCCTCCACTTACAAATAAGAGAAATTTATCATCATAGAGAAAATGTCTATCCCTAAGGCTTTTTCCCTGTGTCTGGTAACAAGATAAACATGCCTCTAAGTCACAAGAAACTCCTACCAATCAAGAAGGCACAGACTTAACTCTGCTTACCAAACCTTACCTTTGTTTACTATACTTTTGCTGGTTACCTTCCTGGAGCCTGCCTTCCCCACACTCTTCTTCCTTTGTTTTAACTGCGGTGGTCTGTTAGCCCAAGGTCTCATCACCACTTTGAATGACTCTTCCTGATGTGAAGAACAAAGGCAAAGGAAATGTAGAAAGAAAATTAAATTTCCTTACAACATGCAGCCCATTGACAAGTACTTGAGACAGGCAGAGAGACCTTCCTGAAAGAGCTCAGCTACCACAATGCTAATATTTTGCTAGAGGAAAAAGGTAACCTTAGCCTGACATGAGCCCAACTCCCAGGGGTAAGGGCCTACTTAGCCAGAGCGACTGCATCTCTGTTAAACAGCCACTTTTGTTGTTGGTGCAGTAAACTTAAATTGTCCCTGTCCCTCAGAGAAACTTCCTTAAAAGCAAGTCCAGGAAACCAGTAAAATGTGGTCAACTAATTCCTGATAACAGAGCCCAGAATACAAGGAGGAGTCAGGCCAGATGGAGACATCTAACCAGTACAAAGCACATATGCAACTTCCCTAACCACCAAAGAATGTAAACTCTAGCTTTTGGCCGCCAAACTTGGGCGCCAATTCCGACCAGAGTGATAGGCTAGTTCAAACAGCTACTATAGGGTAAATTGTAATTCAATTAGCCACCTGTGTGTGGCCTAACATGACTAAGCCTTCCTGGAAAGTACTGTTTGTTAACAGTTCCTGGTATGGGGTAATCTTAAGTAACAAGTCACCAGACGAGAAGGAACTAGCCAATCAGCAAGAGACACACAAACCCAGTGGGTTAAAATAACAAAATATGGGTTGCGGTTTTACCCAATAAAAGGTAGCCTGTAAGATTGGGAGGGGTCGCTCTCTTTAGAGGCGGCCTTGACTGGTCAGTCAATTCTTGATGCTTGGCACGAATAAAGCTTTACTTGACCTTTGCTTTATATTGGCCTCATTCCTTTGATAATGGACCCCAACACCAGGATCCTGTAAGTCCCCACTAACGTATAAAAATCCCAGGACACCTGAGTGGCTTAGTTGATTAAGTGTCTGCCTTCTGCTCAGGTCATGAATCCAGGGTATTAGGATTGAATCCCCCTGATGGGCTCTCTGCTCAGTGGGAGCCTGCTTCTCCTTCTCTCTGAGGCTGCCCCAGCTTGTACTTTCTCTCTCTGTCAAATAAATAAATAAAATCTTTAAAAAAATATTTATGTAAATCCCTTTGGAGACTTCCTTTATCTCTACCCCATCCAAGTTATATGTCAGCAATCATCCTCCAAGCTTATGGCCCACTGATAGACATCTGAAGGGTCTCATGACTCATGCTGTACTAGACACTAGTAAATGACCTCATCTTAACAGCAGCTAGCCCTGCAAGGCCATAAAACCCTTGCTTCCAAATACCTTCAGGACTTTGTCTATCCCTAACCCCACCCAAACTTAAAAGTATAGAATCAACCACCTGTCACAACCTTAGTGCAGCTCTTTCTGCCCTTGGGTCCTGTCCCCATGCTTTCATAAAACCACCTTTTTGCACCAAAGATATCTCAAGAATTCTTTCTTGGTTGTTGGCTTCAAACCCTAACATCTTTCTTACACAATCTATACTGGGAGGGTGATGATGCACCCAACTCCATGAAGAAAGAAGTTTCTTCACTACGACCCTCCCACCTTACCCTAGGTATCTTTTTATCTGGCTCTTCATCTGTCTCCTTTACCATATTGTTTAAGAAACTGATAAACCATGAGTGTTTCCTTGAGTTCTGTGTGCCACTCTAGCAAAGTAATGGAATAAACAGGGAGTTGGGGAAGCTCAGATTTATAGCCAGGCAGTCAGAAGCACAGGAGACGAGTGGCACTTGCAATTGGCAACTGGACTGGGGAGTCTTGTGTGTTTGTCATTTGTTTTCTCCTAAAGAAGTGAAATCATGGAGCTCAAAATGATAAAGCTTCAGGGATGGAGGCACTCAACGGACATCAGGATTTCATAATTTCCTTACACTTCTTTGAGGAAGTTATCACTTCTCCTTTGTTCCTTTAAGGAGGCTTGGTCTTCCTGCATCTGAAGGGATACTGGCTTTAAAGAGTGAGTTGGAGGGTGTGGGTCTCATCCACACTGTGCACAAGAAGGGCATCTTCCAAGCCCTAGGTTTCCCTTTCCTCTTTCCTAGGGCTCAGAACCCTTCCACGCTTGCATACCTGGCAGAGGAACAGCAGATAAAAGCCTCTGAGCCTGGGACTAACCACGGCCTCTATCCTTAACAGGAGCCCCAGTAAGGAGACCAGGTAAGAGGAGATGCCTGGGGTCTGGGGACAGCAGAGCCATGACAATGGCCAGAAAGTCCAGGTCACATAGATATTTGAGAAATATCCCAGGAGGGAGGAGGGAGGAGCCAAGTTTCTGGACCAGGAGTTATAGGACA